GCTATGAATAAAAATACAATGTATTTAGAGAACACAATGGGGGACCTAGTGTTGTCCAAGAAGGTCCTATGGGCCGGAAGTGAAGGAATAACTGGTTGTAGTGATGAACTCAGCAGTCCCCACATAGCAAACCAGCACATGCAAGAGATCTGAGGCTTCACCTCTTGTGAAGCAAAAGAAAAGCCGGAGTGGTAAAGTAAGGAGAGGAAAGGTGAGAGGAGGGGCAATGAAGCTGGAGAGTCTGGCAGCTCTAAGTTCTCTAAGGAATGAGAAGCCACAAAGTCAAAGAGGCAAAGACAGGCTCTCAGATCTGCAATTTAAATTTGCAGCCCAAATCTCCACTGCCACCCATTCTTCAAATGTCACCTCTGGCCCCCACACCAGGTAATAGTTTCATGATCAGGAGAATTTCAAAAAAATAATATGCATGCAAATATGTGTATGTGCATGTGCATATACATAAATGTATGCATGTATATGTTCTAGTCACCATTGTCCACCTTGGGAAATGTCTACAGTTGCTCCTAAGTTATGACTCTTTCAAATCTCTAGACATTCCAAAGACAGGCACAACTATATCTCCCACCACTCATGTTCTTCTTACAGTATGATCCTATACTTTTCCTTTCAGTGAGTGGTAGTTCTATGTCCCCACTCTTTGAACCTATGCTGACATCTGTCACTGACTTGATCAACAGAAAATAGTGGAAGTGGCAATATGTGGCTTTTGAGGCTAGATATTAAAATGCCATGTACTTCTCCCTTGTTCTCCTGGGATACTCACTATTGGAACCAAGCTGCCATGCTCTGAGGAAGTTCAAACTAAGCCACATGGAGAGGCCACGTGTAGGTCTGGGCCAATAGCCACATCAACCCCCAGACGTGGGCGTGAGACTGCCTTGGATGATTCCAGATCCAGCTGTCAAGTCGCCCAGCCTTGCAATCTTTCCAGCTGAGGCCCCTGACATAATGGAGCAGAAAAAAGCTATCCACACTCTGTCTCTTCCAAATTCCTGATCCAAAGTATCCGTGAAAAAAAAAAAAACTGGCTATTTTATATTACTAAGTTTGGGGGTGATTTGTTACACAGCAATAGTAACTGGCACAGAAAAACTCGGTATATCTGTAAAAATATAGACCTGTACATTTGCACGTATAATATATATATATATATATATATATGTGTGTGTGTGTGTGTGTGTGTGTGTGTGTGTGTGTACATATATTTTTCTTAATCACTATTCACTCACTGAAAACCTTCTAGAGAGGATGTCTACAGTGAGCACTGTTAGAACCCCTTCTAGAAAAAGATGGCTTATCAAAGAAAAATTAAAACCTTTTAAACCACTCAAAATATACAAAGTAATCCATCTTTATTGCAAATATATAAAAAAATTCTTGTAGGCAAATTTAACACCTTACTGGCTTTGAAAAGAGATAAAAAATGAGGTCTTCGTCCACAGCAACTAAATAGGGCACCTGGGACTTGTCTTTCTCCACTGCTGAAGGCTCACATGTCTGAAAAGGGTGCAGATTAAATAGAGCAATGCATATAAGGTATACTTAGTATAGTGCTTGACACTTAAGAGTCCACCAAATTCTAGTTATTGTTGCTTTAGTTGTTGTTAGAATTACGATTTTTATTGATCCCAGCACTAACCTTTTCTGATTTAAATTAAACAACCCTCATGTTCCATCTCCACAGGGGGGAAACAAAACAGTATAGATTCTTTTCTATACTGCAGGTAACCAAATACTGAATCTACTGAAAACCTTTTCAGTCTATAACTAAAACTTTTCAGTATATAACCAAATCTGACTTTGGTTAGAAGACAAGAAAGGGATCTCAGATCCATATGATTAGAAATGTTATGCAACATTACATAAAATAAGTATTACACATCTCTATTTGGTCTGGGAAAATAACTTTCCTTATTATAAGGGAGAAGGAGATCAATATGTGTTAGAAAACAAGCTACTGAAATGTTATCTTGAATAATCACTATACAGCTTTCAATGTAAATAAATAAAAATATTACCTTTGATCATTATAAAAGTACCCCCCTAGGGGATTTTATAAGTATTACAAGCTACACACACATTGTGGGAACAGATACCAGGGAACAGAGGTGAGAACAGTCAGTCACTTCAGGTTGGTTTATCCTCTACTCCTCATTGCTGTGTGACTTTAAGCCAATCACTCATCCTCTCTAAATCACAGAGTCTTTAAAATAAGACTAAATTCCAAACTTTTCATCCACACCAAAATAGTTCATATTGGGCTATTAAGAACAGCAGCCCCCATGCTTTCAGAGTAAGAGTCACGTTCCAAATGTTTATGTGTGTGCAATGATGATTTCACAAGCAGAAATATCATTTCCAGAGTCACATGCATTAATTAATCTGTTACAGATTATCTCAAAAAGCACTGTGTCTTGCTGTAAATGCTGCTGTGCATCACATACTGAAATCATCAACGTCAAATGGAAGGAAAGCAATTGGAGATAGAATCCCAACTAGCAGTGCACAGAGGCTGGCCCACATCCTTCTTAACACTCTTGGCTTTTCCCAATTAGAGGCTCAAGTGGTAGGGTGGGGAGTTTTCCTAAACTGGACATTGATGGGAGGGGGTTAAGAGAATATTAATGGTTAAGAAAAGAAAGGGGGGAAGGTAAAAACCAGGGAAAGGGAACATGCTATGGAACTAAATGAGTTGGTGGCACCTAAGCAGAAATTTCACTTCAGGGGAAGCCATTTCAAAAATGACAGTCTAGTCACTAGGTTTTAAGTTTGCAGAGGGTTTGACTTCCTTTTGCCTCTAGATAGCCTGGTTTCCTGGGAGTGGGTGAAGCATACCCCTGCTATTGATCTACTTAACTGTATAGGGTCACAGTCTCCATCCAGAAAAAAAACAAAATGCCTTTTATATCCTGGAAAGTGGTGAGAACCCTGTGACTAATGGAGCCCCAACATGGGAAAAAAAATGGCCGGCATGTAACTGACTTGGTAGGGCCCTTGTCAGAGATGTCATGGACTATCCACTGGCTTTTAACTCATAAAAACTGGGTGAGAGTCAGCAGGCTGATGCCTGGCAGGTCTGGATCTGCCCTTGGAGAGAAGTCCTGCTTCCCTCATGTAGGCTCAGCCCCTTCCTGATGTCAGAACCCATGGCTGATGATTTGGGATTCAGAAAGCTTTGGAGTCTTGAGGCTTCGCTGGAAACCAAAACCGCCTCTCTCCGATTACCATATATGATGAAGTCTGAGAGTTCTGGTAAGACCTGAAGGATCCGTCTGGTTTTACCATGAAGCAGGACACAGCCAATTTGAGGGAGATCCCTTTTCTGATTGATGGCATCTTTAAAAATGTTACCATCACTACCAAAATGCCTTTTCTGCACCTCACACCACCTTGTAGCAGAGCTAAGTCTGTCTTAACACCACAGCACATATTTGTAACTCCTTTTTCTTGCAACCATTTATGTGGCTGTTTTTTCCACAAACCCCACCACCTGAAGGTCTGGGATATAAAACCATTTTACAACAGCTATTCTTCCAAGCCTTTCCCTCCTTCTTGTTCTTAGCTGCACCCCTGAGTCCGAATTTGGTTTTAGTGGACAACTGTTCTGAGCACATTTCTCCACAAGCTCCATCTCAGCTCCAGAAAGGCCAAGGACAAAGATAAGACCAAAGTTGTGTGTGAAGGAGCAGACCCAGGGCAGAGCATGGGAAAGGAGTGGACAGAGTGATGAGTGGTCCGGCCGAAATAATTTCTTCCAGAGCAGCAAATCCGCAAAAGGGAGTATGGAGAAGGAATCCATGTCTTCCCGGTGATGGGTCAGTGCAAGAGCATAAGACCATTCCTGAAACCTGGTTGGATGGCTAACACTTTTTTCCTAGCCGAAGTTGCGGGCACCTGTTCAGGAAAGGCGGTGAGGAGCCTTCTAAGCTGGCCGGTCTGCCCGTGCTATATAGAGAACTATATGTTAAGCAGTCTAACCGGCCCCCTTCAAGCCTCCACCAAGCCCGAGTGCACAGGTGGTTACCGGCACAGGTACTGAATCTTACCAGAACAACTTTATTACTGGCCCTGGGAGGCTTTTTTAGAGAAAGAATCCCCACCACCGCCACCACGAGTCCCTCCAGCTCGCAGGAAAGAGGCGCACACCGGCAAAAGGCACAGGTAAAGGTTCCCAGTGCAGCCAGGCTCCCACGCTTGCCGGCCGCTTCTCCACTAAGGCGGTCTTGGCGCTGGGTGACCTCTCCTGTCAAGCCCCTGAGCGGGGTATAGCGGGGTACAGCCCAGCACCCCCGCGTATCAACCCAGCCCGCTCGCCCCCCACGGCTCTGGCCCGGCCGTGCAGCCCTGCCGACCGCAGCAGCCCGGCACCCAGCCCCGGCAGCCCCAGCCGCCGGAGCCGCAGCGCCCACTCGGGGCAAGCAGCGATCACTCACCCTTCTGCTCTCGCAGGCTCGACAGCGACCAGAGCAGCAGCGCCACCGAGGCCAAGAAGCAGAGCTGGCTCAGCAGAAGGTCCCTCCGGCGGCGGCGGCGGCGGCGGCGCGCGCGGTCCTCGTCGCCCGGCGGCTGCATCCTCGGGCTGCCGGGCGGCGGCCCCGGCAGGCGGCGGCCGCTCCTATCGCAGGCTGGCGCGGCGGGGACAGAGGCTGTAGGCAACCCTGCGCGCAACAGCAACGCTTCCTCGCTGCGCTCCCACCCGGCCGCCGCCTCCTCCTCTCCCTCCTCCTGGCCGCAGCCGGTCTCCTCGTCGTCGCCCTCGTCGTCGCTATCGCTCAGTCCCTCCTCCCCCCCTTCCTCCTCCTCCTCGCCGCTCGCCCGCTCCGCCGCCTCCCGGCGCTCGGGGTCCCTCTCCTCATCGCGCGCCATGGCTCCCACGCTCCGCGCCCGCGCTCGGCCTGGGGCGGCGGCGCGGCGGGGGCGGCGGGGGCGGCCGGGAGGCGGGGGCGGCGGCGGCGGCAGAGGAGGAGGAGCGGGGAAGGACCGGCGGGAGGAGGGCCCGCAGCTGGCCAACTCGGCCGGCTGGCGAGGCCACCCCGGACAGACTCCGGCCTCGCGGGCTGCAGAAGCGCGTCCCGGGGCTGCCCTCCTACTCCATGGTTCGCGCCGGGGGGACCCAGGGCTGAGCTGGGGCTGGACCGCGCCGAGTGCACCGAGCGAGCTGGGAGCGCAGACGAGTGTGGGTACCCTCAGCCTGCAACCACGCGGCTGGTGGGCCCGGGTCGGCGGCAGGGGGGCGCGCGGGCAAGGGGCTGTGCCAGAGATGCAGCTCGGAGCTGACCAGCACGACGGGGAGGGGGCGCGGGGAGGAAACTGGGCTGGGGATCGAGCCCGGTGCGCAATCCTTCAGCCCTCGGGTGCCAAAGGGAAGCGGGTGGTGTAGGGGAGCCCCTCTCCGACGCACAGGAGCAGGCATCGGAGAGAAATCCACAAAGAAGGATTCCTCTAAAACTTTAGGAGAAACCGAGGGTCCCGTCAGCCCCTTCCCACCCACTGCCCCTAGTAGGGGATACACTATTGCGCTTAGCTTGCCCACACCCGACCACCGATCTCGCCTCCTCCCGCGGGCCTCCCGGGTTCCCCTCTGCCCCCTTGTGGGGATCCCCCTGCGCGTCAGACTCAGGTCCTGGAATAGGCCTCCCCAGAGGCTTGTGGCTCACTAGGGGTGTCCTGGCTCCCCCCTCTGGCCCAGGCTTACACTTCTCCACCTTTAATGTGCTGGACCAAGCCCAGTGCTGGGGCTGTGGGAAGGGGGACCGCTGGCAAGGTCCCTGACAAATGTGCCCTGAGGGTCCTGGTCATCCTGAAGAGGAGGCTCCTGGCCTTCTGAGGGGACATCAGCCTTGGACGTTAGAGCCCTAGTTCCCCTGCTTCCAGTCTTCCTGATCCTACCTACTGGAGGTGTTGATTGCCTTAGAGACTAGAGGGCCCCATAGCACTACAGAAGGTGCCCATTTGGAGAGGATGCCTAGTAATGCCAGGAACAGCCCACTCTCCCTACTTGGGTTTCTTTGGCTTCCTCCCAGGTGCCTCCCTGAGGTGGCCATAGGGTCCTGAGAAGGAGATGTCTTTGTGGGGAAATGAAAACAAAAGGTCTTGTTCAAAAAGGATCACCAGGAAACCAGGTGGACTGAATAGAATCGGAAATCGGGGAATCTAGCCTCCAGGCTTTAGGGAGGTGGGGAAGAAGGAGGAAGCCACTGTGCAGGTTTCCTCTTGCAAATGTGTCCCCACTGTGGTTGATCTTTTATCTCACAGCCTCTCGATGGCCCCTGACACATCCAAAAACAGCAGGGACACAGCAAAGGACTAAGTGGATAGTCCTGGGTGACTTATTTCCATAGAATGGCCATTTCACCCAGCAAGAGTAGAAAACTTTTGCTTTCTGTATCATTTATTTACTCTGGTTCAGCTTGGCATGGTCTCAGACATGCAGAGCACCTTCCCTGCAATGCCCTTCATGGTTGTCCCTTTGCTTGGGTTACCAGGTACTAAAGAGGATTTAAAAATATGTGAGTTCATCCAGACTGGAGTGTGTGTCTTGTGTTATTGCCATCAAGTGTTTCGAGACATGGAAAAGAAAGTTTAGGAGCCCCGAAGAGTCCAGCTATCTAGGAAAGACACTCAAATCGTGTTTTCTAATGAAAACTCTCAAAAGGTAAGAGAAATAATCTGGAACTAATTGGGTTAGGAAATGAATACCCTCTCTGAGTGAAAATGCCATAGGCAAAAAGAATTGTGTAATCTGGTAATGGGTGGGGTGATAGGAAAGGAGCAAGAGGGAAAAGAGTTGAAACCTGTAACTAGCAATTCCCTGGAAGAGAGAAAACATGTGAACCAGGTGAATCAGAGAAGTGATTTTTTTTTCTTTTGTAACAGGACTTGGGAATGGGTGAATTGAACCCAGGGACACTTAACTTCTGAGCTACATAGCCAGCCCTTTTTATTTTCGATTTTGAGATAGGACCTCTCTAAGTTGCTTAGGGCCTCACTAAGTTGCTGAAGCTAGCTTTGAACTTGTGATCCTTCGGCCTCAGCCTCCCAAGTTGATATTCATTTTGACAGATATCAGAGCAAAGGGAGGTAGTAAAGTAAAAGCAGAGAGAAAGATCCCAAAACAGCCAACCATCACCCAGGGAAGACAAATGAGGGATTGGGGTCCTCAGTGTGACAGAACCCTAGACCTGGTGGGCTCCTCACTTCACTAGATGATGCCTTCTCTGAAGGAATTTGCCTGCAATCAGGGAAATCCTTTGTACCCACCCAACCCCCTCTATCAGCCAAGTGTGGAGTAGAGCAGGATCTTGAGTTCCCTATCAGCCCTGGGGAAGAAAGGAGAAAGCCTTAATGGGGGCGGGGGGCTCCTCTACCAAGGAAAACAGTAATTTTTGCAGTACCTGCCCCTCCCAGTCTTTGGAATATCCCCAGGAGACCAACTTTTGGAAGGAGCAGGAGTCAGAATGAAGAATGTGCTTATGATCTTTCACAATCAGTATCCTCATTGGACTTGAGGTGGCTTTGGCCTTTGATTTCTGGATCTATTTGCTTTTGATCTCCTATTTTGTGTAGACAACCTTAAGAAGAAAATTTCAGTCTCTGATACTCCTGTCTGAGAAGGACTTTGATTGGAAAAAGCAGCATCACCTGCAGAGGTGCAAGGATCCTCCCAAGAAGGACAGGTGTGTTCACAAAGCTCCTTCCCCACTCTGGGCTGGGTGCTGGGCTCACCACAAGCTTCCTCCACAGCTTCCATCAGCATTTTGGTTTTATGTCTAACAGAGACTTTGGACCTGATGTGGGGCATAGAAGTGATTCATTTTTCTCAAAGGCTTTATAACAAAAAACGAAAAGCCCCCCTCCACCACCACTACATTTGCTGACTGTCAGCCCAGGCCAAACTTTCCCTCAGTTGATGATTGGGGCCTTATCTGTGCATAGATAAGACGCATCTCTGACCAGCCATCCCTCACCCACAGTTCCCAGACCTGACAGAGCAGTTTCCACAACAAAGCAAGGTTGTGTCTCCATAACACCAATCTTGCCAGTTGCAACAGAAAAGCCTCCTGTTTAGAATGGGGAAGAAAGAGGGAGAGAAAAACCATAGAAGTTGCTCAGGAAAGAAAGACCACCCTCCAAGGAATTATACAGATATATTCACTTTCTTTGAGCACATTGAGACCAATATTGGTAGATGGGGGAATCAAAGGAAGAAGGGTCCATGAAATATTCAGATACACTTGACCTCAGATACTCTTGAGTGTCCAGGCCTCCTATCACTGCATAATTCAAATGTAGCTTAGCCCACTATGGTGGAACACACCTATAATCTCAGTGATTCATGAGGCTGAGGCGGGAGGATCCCAAGTTTGAGGACAGTCTGGGCAACTTAGCAAGACCGTGTCTCAAATTAAAAATAAAAAGAACCTGGGATGTAACTCAGTAGTAGAGTTCCCCTGGGTTCAATCCCCAGGGATACAAGGGGGCGGGGGGAGGCAGGTAAAACTGCTTCTTCAGATACTCCCTGAGCTGGTAGCACTACAAAGGACCAAAAAAAGAAAGAAAGAAAAAAATCATCCCTCTGTGTGGTGAGTCAATGCTCCACATCGTGTCTTTTGAAAGCATCATGTCTACAAGGCAGGCTCCCATTATTTTAGGTGTTCAGTTTACGACTGGAATTCAAAGAAACCACTTATTTTGTAATCATCTCCAATTTTTTTCCCTGCCCAGTTATATGGATTTGATGATTTTTTTTTACTTACTCCATGTATATGAGTGTAATTTTTTTTCCGAGTGAACCATTTCTATATTCAGAGCTTTTAAAGCAATTGTTGAGGTATAATCTACATATAGCAAAATGAACACACAGCTTAAGCCTTTAGCTCAACAAGTTAATGTATGTATATAAGCTTACTGAATAAGTTCCAAATCAGGACTTAGAATATTTCTACCCCACCCCATTTCTCCCAGTCTCCCATGTCTCCCTTGTTCCAGTCCCCTGCCAGGCAAGAATCCCCCACTGCCTCCAAGATAAAACCCCTCTCCCCAACCCTCTCAGCCTAGGTCATTGTTGCCTGTCCTTGAACTTCGGGTAAATGGAGAGTACTTTGGCTCAGATTTTTTTCCGTGAGATCTGTCCAGTGTGCACAGCTGTGACTTGTTCTCTTACTTGCTTTGTAGGTATACAGTTTTTCTTTTCTTTCTTTTTTTCCCCCCTTACCTGAGGCTTCAGTTCCCTTCCAAGTTTAGTGTAAGCCAAGAATAATCAAACCACTGCATCTGGATCAGAGACAAATGACCTCCCAGATTGGCCAGTTTTGTAGGGAACTTCAATTGAAATTCAAACAGTCATCCACCGCTTCTCAAACCGGTTTCCCTACATAATGAGGAGCCCGAGGGTGACTACAGGAGGAAAGGTTAAACTGAAAAACTTGAAGGGTCCACTTTTAAAGATAAGCATACAAGAATTCCTAAGAAGTGCATAAAAGTTTGAGGCAGGTTTTAGTGGGAAAAATCAGTCTGACTGCAGAATCCACTTTAATTCAAGCCCATTTCCTGCAATCTTTTCCATTCCCTTTTTTCTTCTGAAGGAGAAGCAGAACAGTAGAGATATGCACCTAATCCTCCACAGTCATGGAGCATCATCCTTGTAATCCAGAGTTGGTGGACATAAAAACTACAAGGTAGCTTGTCAGAAATACCCATCCCCAAGCCTATCCTGAGCAAATAGGACTTGGGGAACAGGGCAAGGTATACTATTTAACAGCGACCAGGAAATATTCCTTATTAAAGGTTGAGATCTGCTGTTCTTGAGAAAGGCACAGTTTGGCATGTATTTCTAGTGGATCTTGGAGGGCAAATCTAAAAATGAATAGTATATTACCCAGCTCCTACTAGTCCATATTTTAATTGACTTGTTTTGTTTTTTTGGAAGAAATAAAGACAGAGGGTATGCAAACACACCTTCTAGGTTTGTCTGCATCCTTGGTTCACAAGTTCTATTTAAAATAAATGATGACTCCTATAAAATATAATTTAGAATCATGAAAACAATAGAGATTAAAATGTTAAACCCTCAGAGGGAAAAAATAATTAAGTATTCACAATTTGATCGATTTATTCGTCCTATCAAGATCATTCAGAAAGAAAACATTTAATTTTATTTTGTTCATGTAAACATGGACAGACAGGATGCTGAGTGTGTCAGAGGAGCTCAGGGAGGGCCTTGGAGCTTATTTTTGCTAACATGAAAATATTAGGCTTAGAGATTGAATGTTTTAAATCAATAAAATAGATCTGAAAAAAAAAAGAAAAGAAAATAGATCTGTAAATTTAAATTTTATTTTTTAATTTCAAAACCTCTTCCTGATAGGCCATAATATATAGCGAAAGTATAAAAAAAGAAGAAGCTACAATATGAATTATGTGATCCTGTTTTTATAAAACTCAGCAAAATAATCTATGTTTATATATGTATACATGTATATTTATGCATACATATATACATATACTCACATACATTCATATACATGTATATATGATTGACCTCTCTCCCCAAATATATGAATGATCCTGATAAAATGAATAAATGGCTGAAATTGTAAATACTTACTTTTTATCTCTGAGGATTTAAATTTTTACACACACACACACACACACACACACACACTTAGGAGGTTAGCAATGGTTATTCCTAGAGGTGAGATTATAAGATTGGGGGTAGGGAGTAATGAACAAAGAGGGATTTTCACTTTTTATTACTAAATAGTAGTAATAGTTTTTGAAATAATTTTATCCCACAATATGTACTGTTCTTTAGTTTTAAAAGTCAAAATTAAAAGAATTTGTTCATGTGTAAGCAGTTAAGTGGAGTTGACTTAAATTAGAGGAAATGGCATGGTTTGACTTTGACAGGACAGAGAAGGAGCTGGGTTCAGGTCTGCAGGCCTGCCTTCCAATGTGAGCATCTCCCAGCATTTGGTCCTAGGGCTTCTTTCTGAGGGATCCTAGAAAGCCCAGACACTGGCTAGAGGAGAAAATTGGACTTCTGGTTCTAATCTGGTCACAGATCTAAAGTGTAGTCCATTTCCCTTAGTGACAATCCTTCCTCGGTAGGACATTTTGCAGAAATGAAAGTTTCTGAAAATACACAGTTTTCAAAGAAAAGAGATGACAAAATCAGTTGCCTCTTTGCACCAGCCTGTGTTATCTGGATAAGGATAATCACAGCAAACCCATGAATCTGACTGCAGAATCCGCTTTAATTCAAGCCCAGCTCAGCTGTCAACTGTAACAACCTAAAAGTTGTAAACACACGACCTATCACTAAGTCCTCATCACCAGAGACCCGAGGTCAGTGGTATGGCTCCACGTTGTGCAGTGTTGTCTTGATTTCCTTAACTCATTTCACCCTGGGTGTTACCAGATGCCCAGGATTAGAGGATGACTTAGTCTAGAAGGTGTTCACAGGGAGACGCTGTGGTTATGCGCCCCCTGGTGGCAGTGGTAAACATCCTCCTGGGGGATTTCTGTATGCTTAAAAGGTCAACACCTTCCTGCCCTGACTGGTTCACCTACTCTTAGATTGAGCCCCGGATCTCTTTTCTTTCCACAGTTCATCTCAGGTTATATTAAGATGTTATTGAGGGCTGGCGTGGAAGAGCTCAGTGGAAGAGCACTTGCCTAGCATGTGTGAGGCACTGGGTTCAATTCTCAGCACCAGATACAAACAAATAAAGACTCATTAACAACTAAAAAATATTTTTTAAAAAAGAAAGAAAGATGTTATTGAATAACCGGTGTGTCGTATGTAGCACTTCCTGTCTCCAGAGTTTGTTTTGTTGGTGAGATTTTTCTCGAATTTTATTATCAAGCCATACAACCTTCATTTAGATACTGAAATATTTCATTTGTTTAAAATTAAGTCATTTTCATTGAAGGCTTACACCTGTGGTAGACAGGAATCGTCTATATCACTTCCTTTCCATTCAATTAAGTCCTTACTACTTGAAATGTTGTCCCAGGATTAAGAGAGACCAACAGTTAGTGGCATCACCTGAGAGCTTATTAGAAATGCAGAATTGCAGTCTTGCCACAGACCTGCTAAATCAGAATCCTCATTTTTACAAAAGATTCCTATGCATATGAAAGTTGAGAAGCATGCATTTGGTTGATGCTTCCTCATAGATTAGTCCACTAATCAGGACTACATATCTGTTTTGTTTCATATTGCGTTGCTGTAACAAAATGCCCAAGACTGATTAACTTACAAAGAAGATTATTCATTCACAATGGCAGAGGGTCCAAACAACATGGTGGCCAGAATCCTAGTGAGCTCCCCCTGGCTGCATCACAACATTGTTGAAGTAGCAGAAAAGGAACTGGCTATATGCAGAAGAAGCCAAGTACATGGGATGGCCTCCTTAATAACAAACTTGTCTCACAACTAATCAAGTCCCATAAAAGCTAATGCTCCCAAGAGAAATCATCAATCCATTCATGAGGGCGGTGCCCCCATAGCTTAATTACCTCCCACCAGGCTTTACATCTTAAAGGTTTTACTACCTCAACACCACTGCACTGGGGACAGTTTTCAGCATATGAACCTTTGGGGGACACACTCAACCCATAATACAAGCCAGAGTAATAACTACCCCTATTTATAGCTGATGATAACACTCAAGATTACATAAACTATTTTACTTTTCCATGTCTTGTTTGCATTTAAACACCTCTTAAATATGGAAAATGTAACAAAACTGAATTTTCAGTGTTTAAGCATTTAATCTATAAGCAATAAATTCTGAAGTCCCTAAGGAATAAGAATTTCAGCTACAGCATCATTTAGCAAGGCACTATATTCCACATAATATTCAAAAGAAAACTTTCTACATCAAATTCCACATATATTGTAAACTATGTTAGTTCGACGACATGTGTATAACGCATATCAAGCACAAAATAGGGCATACCCTAAACTTTGAAAAAAGTATCACCAAAATTGGAGGATACAATCCTGCCTTGGCATAATTCCTTTTAAGTTTTTCAAAGTGTTCACCTACTTAGTATGCATTAGCCTAGTAGTCATTAAAATATTATGTCCAAGAAATATCAAAATTTTTAATATGATGAGAAAACTTATTAAAGGAATGAAAAAAGTCCTTTGAGATGTTAAAAATTAGGTGCAATCATTTTCATTGAACTTTTTATTTTGAGCTAATTTTAGACTTATGGGAAGTTGCAAAATAGTACTGAGATTTGCTGCCAGCCCCTCATCAATCTTCTTTTAATGGTATCACTTTGGGTATTTATATTATAACAATCAGAGCTATGAAATTATTATAGGTGCAATACTAATTTGCAGTCCTGATTTAAATGTCATAATTTTTTCTTCTAATACTCTTTTTTTTTCTCTTCAAGTATCCAATTAAGAATTCTACATTGCTTTAAATTATTTTTGCTCCTCTGTTTTCTAAAATCTAGGACAATTCTTCAATCTTTCCTCTTTCATGACTGACACTTTTGAAGCATACTGAGAGTCTATTGCATGGAATGTCCCTTATTAAGAGGTTTTCTGATATTCTTATGATTTTTATGAAGTTATGCATTTTTTAATTATTATTCTTATTTGTTCGACTTAGTTGTACATGACATCAGAATGCATTTCAATTCATCGTACACAGATGGAGCACAACATTTCAATTCTCTGGTTATACACGGTGTAGAGATGCGCTGTTCGTGCAATCATACATTTTCTTAGGGTAATGATGTCCATCTTGTTCCATCATCTTTCCAACCCCCTTAACCCCTCCCCACCCTCCCTTTTGCCCAATCCAAAATTCCTCCATTCTTCCCATGTGCTCCCCACCCATCATAGATCAACATCCACTAATCAGAGAAAACATTTTGGTCTTTAGTTTTGGGAGATTGGCTTTGAAGTTATGCATTTTTTTTTTTTTTTTTTTTGCAGTGAAATGACACCATGTTTTTCTCTGTGCAACCTTCCAAGGGATTCATGGTGTCAGTACTATTTCTTATAATGGGTGATGATAAACTGGATTACTTGGAATTAATATTTTGGGTAGATACTTAGTAACTACACACATCTTGTTTCTCCTCAAAATTCCACAGTCATTTTAGTATCTATTGATGGATCTTTCTGCAACAATGATTACCGTGGGACTTAAATGTCTTGTGAAAAGTTACATGCCATTTTCCTGAAGCAGTGAATGACTACTGGAGAAGAGTAAAATGTGTGTAAATAGACTGGAAATTTGAAGAGGAAAGGAGGCAATGTTCAAGCAAAAAAACAATGACCAATGGGGAGAGGAGAGCATATGGCACCCTATAAGTTATATTTCCATCCTATCTTGGTGTTCCAGAGAAGTGCTTCTGTAAGAAGCAGCAGGCAACTTCCAGACCTCCTAGCACCTAACTTCAAGACCTTATTATCTCCCATGGATAAGATTTCCCATGCAAGGATCTGAATCTACTAGCCAATGACTCAGGATTCTAAGACTTGAAGTCATATCTTTAAAAGACCCAGGGTGCTGTTCAGAGTGGAGCAAAACCATATACCTATCTGTATACCAATCTTATCTGCAAGTAAAGTATATAAATCAAGATGAGGCAGTTGTCTATAATAAAATAGACTGCATTTTAATTTATAAACCACCCACATTTTATTAGCATTAGTAAATTCCTTTGATAGACACACAGCTTTTGTCTTTGGTTACTGGAGGTGTTTTACATAAAGAACTCTTTGGTCAGATCTATTGAGGTGTTTTACATGAAGAACTCTTTGGTCAGATCTATTGAGAATTATGCTGTGGGTGGTCTGCAGCTTCAAAATGTCATGGTTCACAGGTGTTTTGTGCATTACACTCTCTTTATATTTAAGAGAAACTTCAGAGGCACTGAAATTACATTAGGATCTCCTTGTTCACACAGCAAACCCCTTTAATTCCCTACCAAGCAACAATCCATGGTTTCCAGAGCACTGGTAAATATTCCACCAAATGCAGAGCTAGAAGGAACCAAGACCTAATTCTGGATTTTCCACAGATGTGCAAGATGAGAAAATGTCACATCTTCCAGATGCCTTCATTTTATTAAGAATACCAGTTTTAAAAATGGGAGTTCATAACCCACTTGAATCAAAGTGTGAAATATGATATATCAAGAACTATGTAATGTTTTGAACAACCAACAATTAAAAAAAAAGATGGAAAAAAAAGAATACCAGTTTTGTACATGTATGAAGACTTGAATGGGTGTCAACATACTTTGTGTACAGAGACATGAAAAATTGTGGTATATAAGTGTATGAAGAATTGTAATGCAAAAAAAAACAAAGTACATATAAAGACATAAATTGGCGTGAACATACTTTATATAAAGAGATACGAAAAACTGTGCTCTATATGTGTAATAAGGATTGTAATGCATTCCACTGCGGTCATGAATTTATAAAAAATAAAATAAAATAAATAAAAGATAAAAAAGAATACCAGTTTCTTTTCTCTAAGGTAAAGAATCACCACATCATCATTCACTGTTATTCACAGCTATCAGGAAATTTCAACTTTCTGAAAAAGGTAAGTTATTCTCATCGTGGTCATAAGAACAAAAGCTTTGCTCTTTATGAATTTCTCATTTATAACCATATGTGTGATGTGATTACTGAGATGTTCTATATACTCCAAAATCTGACCTAGGCAGCGTTTCACCTGCTATTCAAAGTTCCATGAGCTTCTGCTGATGGTAAAATATGTCCAAAAATCCTCCCCTCTTTAATAGCAATGAAAACATTAGGGACAATATTTTAGAAATTATCAGGATTTCTCTAGGGAATCCACATTTTCAGTATTCCAGAAATCAATTAAAGAATTTCATAATGTGGGGAGCATTTATTCAAAGAACAAATGGCTGAAAACCAGTAAGAGCAGTGGGCTTTGTGGCATTTTTGCTTGCCCTATTCTCACTCCCACTTCCCAGCTCCATGGTAGCCTTGACAACCAATAGCTCACATCTACAGAGCCAAGCCAGAAGCCTTGCAGCCCCTGGAAGAGGCAGATCGTCATGACTGGACATGTCTGATGGTTCCCTGAAAGATTCTTCTTTACCTAACCTGACACAGAGCTCAGCCAATGCAAATAGCCTCTCGCCCCCGTGAGAATTTGTTGGAAATAATCAGCAACAATTGTTTAACATCATGCCCGAGGCAGTGAATAACAGATGGCGCAAACAGTAACCTAACCAAAAATTTGAAAGTAATAACTAGAGAAAGAGATATCCACTGGGAGCTTTGAAAACACCAAAATTTATGGGAATAGAGAAAGTCACATTCACATGTAGGGTTGTGTATATGGCCAGGGCTGTGCATGTGTTAAAGGAGACCCAGAAAAGATCCTAAACTCCCACCTCTGACTGAGGCTGTTTGCAAACAGGAAGAAAAAACTGGGAGCCTTGATTACTCTGGGAAGTGTAGCAGCCCTGATTTCCTGCGAGGAACCCTTCAGCTTCAGAAAGGCAAGGGCATTGATTACTATCATGAAAACATACAAGAGTACAAAACTAACTGGCAGAGGTAAATTCACAGTCAAATTCATAATGCTCCCTGACAATTAGTGGTAAGTAAATCTTTTGAATCTTTAATGTGAAAGTTAAAAGTCAAATAGTCAATAACAGCCATAGCCAAATAAGTTGTTAAGGAATCCATAATATGAAAAGTGTAATTTGTGACAACAAAAATATAAATTGTGGGGGGCGGGGGGGGGCTAAAAGTCTAGAGTATATATGTATGTGACTGAAGTTAGCTTATTATCAGCTTAACATAGTCTTAATGTAAAACTGTTGGCAACCACAAAGCAAAATCTGTAACAGATATGTGAATGAAAAAAAAAAGGAATCAAACTTAGCACCACAGAAAATCATCAAATCATAAGGGCAGGCAATAAAAGAGGAGTCGAGGAACAACGGATTTATAAAACATCCAGAAAGCAACTAACAAAATGGCAGGAGTAAATCCTTACCTGTCAATAAACCTAAATGTAAATGGATCAAACTCTTCAATCAAATGATAGAGAGTGGCTGAACAAATAATATGAAGATCCAACTAAAGGCTGCCTATAGTAGAAACACTTGAGCTTTCAGAACACACAAAGGCTGATACTGAAGGGATAGAAGAAGATATTCTATACAAATAGTAACAAAAGACAGCAGGGATGTCTGTACTTATATCAGATACAATATACTTCAAGTCAAACACTTGTAGAAGAGACAAAGAACGTTATCTTCTATTGATTAAAGGGTCAATTCATCAAGAGGACATAACAATTGTAAATATAGATATACTCAACATCAGAGCTCCTAAATATGTAAAACAAATACCCATGGACATGAAGGAAGAAACAAATAGCAATACAGTAATAGTAGGGGACTTCAGTGCCCACTTTGAGCAACAGATAGATCATCTAGACAGAAAATCAATAAAAAAAATACTGAACTTGAACCGCACTTTAGACTGAATAAATCTAACGAACATATATAGAACATCCCCTCCAAGACCAGCAGAATATACATCCCTTTCAAGCCTGCATGTAATATTCTCTGGGCCACAAAACAAGTCTAAACAAATTAAAGAATATTGAAATTACATCAAGTGTTATTCTTAACCACAATAATTTTAAACTTGGAATCAATAACAGCAGGAGTCTTAGAAAATTTACAAATATGTGGAAATTGAACAACATACTCCTGAGCAATCAATGGGTCAAAAAAGATCAAAAAGGGGAATTAGAAAAATATCTTGAAACAAATGACAATGGAAACTCAATGTATTAAAACCCATGGATATGGCAAAAGTAGCCCCAAGAGGGAATTTTATCTCAATTAATGCCTACATTAACTCAGAAGAAAGTTTCCAAATAAATAACCTAACATTATGCCTCACAAAACTGAGGGGAAAAAAAAAACTAAACCCAAAGTTAGTAGAAGAAAGGAAATAATAAAGATCAGAACTGAAATAAATTAAATAGGGAACAGAAAATCCATTTTAAAAAGTCAATAAAACCAAGAAATTGTTCTTCAAAAAATAAATACAATCAGCAAACCCTTAGCTAGACTTAGGTAAGGTGTAATATTTCTGCTGTCTCAAAAATGAAGCATATAATGGAATAATATTAGGAACAACATACATGTGTATGTCACCATGTATCTATCTATCTATCTATCTATCTATCTACATCATTTTGTGCATAAGTAAAATGCGTGACATTATAATACAACAGACAAGAGTGAGGAATTAGGGATATTTTGTTATTATAAGGTACTTACTCTGCCTGTGAAATGAGACCCTGATATTTGAAAGTAGACTTGGACTTAGTTGTAAATGTACATTGCAAACTGTAAGGCAACCACTAGAAGAGGAAAGGAAAGGACAGGAAATTAAATCATATAAAAATGCTCAATTGAGACCACAAAAGGCAGAAAAATAGTGGAAGACAAATGCAGGAATAAAGAGCAAAAGCAATGAGTGGAAAATAATAACAATATGATAGGATAGATTTTAACCCAACTATATCAATAATCACTTCAAATGTTGATGTCTAAAGATACCAACTGAATGACAGAGGTCTTCAGAGTGGATTTAAAAAAGAAAGAACCAACTATGTGTTGTATACCAGAAACCCAAGACACATATAGTTTAATAGTAAAAGGATAGATATGTATATACCATGATAACACCAATCAAGAGAAAGCTGGGGAAAATATACACAGTATACCAAATATACCAAATATATGTGTGATATATACCAAATATATCACACACCAATGTACAGGAAGTTTGCAGGGATAGAGAGGTGTATTGCACAATGATGAAGAGGTCAATTATCCAGTAGGTATCACAACCTTTAACATATATGCACCTAATGTGGATGGATGCACCTTACATATCCATAATGCATGTGGATGGGAAGACTCCTCACTGTTAAGATGTCAGTTCTCCCCAGCTTGATCTACGGTTTCAAATCTATCCCAATGTAAATCCCAATAAGTTATTTTGTAACTTTGTATTTTACAAAGGAACAGATTCTCAAACTTTTTTGAAAAGCAAAAGACTCAGAACAACCAAAACAATATCAAAGGACAACAAAGTTGGGGGATTAACAATATCTCACTTTAAGACAATATAATCCTACAGAAATTGAGACTGTGGTATTGGCAAAAGAATTGTCAACTATATCAATACAGTGAGACCAGAAATAGATCCACATAAATATAATGCATCCATCTTTGACAAAACAGCAAAGGCAAGTAGATGGAGAAAGAAAAGTCTTTTCAGTAAATGGGATTGGAACAAATGAACATCCACTCTTAAATAAGTGAAACCAGACCCAAATCCTACGTTTCTCACAAAAGTTAACTTGAACTCCACCTTAACTATTTTAGTCCACTTTCTGCTTGCTATACCCAAATGCCACAGACTGGGATAAATATAAACAATACAAGTTTATTTGGCTCACAGTTCTGGAAGAGATGCCAACAGCATGTCACTGCCATCTATTGAGGACCTCCATGCTGTGCCATCTCATGGCAGAAGACAAGTAAGCATGTGGGAGAGAGAAATCAGGCCAAACTTATCGTTTTTTCAGGACCCCACTCCCACAATAACTAACCCCACTCCCACAACAACAGCTTTAATACATTAATGAGGTCAGAGTCCACATGTCCAAATCACTTTTTAAAGATCTCACCTCAGGACTGTTACAATAGGAATTAAATTTCAACCTAAGTTCTGGAAGGAGACATTCAAAGCCTAGTAGTTACCTAAATATTAAATACAAAACTATAAAAATTCCCAGAAGATAACACAGATGAAAAGCCTAGGTAACCCCAGGAATGTTAGTGACTTTTTATATAAAATACCAAAGGCATGATCCATGAAAGAGATAATTAATAAATTGAACTTTATTAAACTGACAGTCTTCTACTCTGCAAATGACAAAAGTAGAAAAGAATGATACAAGAAAACACCGATGGGGAGGACATATCTGACAACAAATTGTTGTCCAAAATACACGAACAATTCTTAAAATTCAAGGAGAGTTATCTAAATTATGTTGTTATATTGTGTATTGTGTGCATGTATGAATATTTAACAACAAATAACATCAGTATGTACAACTATAATGCATCAATAAAAATATGAGGAAAAGAACAAAATAAAATAAGAGTTTATTTTCTCAATAAGAAAATAAACTATCAGATTTTTAAAATGAACAATGAACCTGAAAAGACATTTCACCAAATAAGATATACAGATGGGAAACGTGCAAATGAAAATGTGCTCAACCTCATTTGCCATTAGGGAATTGAAAATTAAAATGACATTCAGATATATATATATATATATATATATATATATATATATATATATTAGAACAACTAAAATC